GAGCAGATGTTTGACCTGTTAATAACGCAAGAATCTGTAAAAAAGATTGTTTATAAAATAAATATCAATAGCTAAGTAAAAATAAAGTTTACCTCTAAACGTCATATTTCGTGATGAGAGAAACAATGTTACATCCAAAATACAGCGCAATATTTCAGGCCACCTCGCTACCTCAGACTCTAAAGTTTGTTTGATTGCCGTATTTTTTTTATTTACTAATTTTGAAAATTTTTTTGTTTTTAGATTGTGCTATGTTTTTATTTAGTTTTGTTTTTTTAATCTATACTTATTTAAATCTTTTAACATTGTTTTACATTTACTTTTTTTAATTTTTATATCTATAAAATAATTTTTTAATATCTTTTTTTTCTTTCTTTTCTTTTCTTATTTCACCTTTAAATAAATAGATTTGATATTTGAGATGAAATTACATAGATTGACATTAAAATATCCACGTTAATACTTTCGTGAGATTTATCGTATGCCGAAACGTAATACGTCGTCACTTTCATTATATGAATATATACAAAAAATGTTCTATGTGACAACAAACTCACTAAACATAATAATCCGTAAACATGAAAACCGACGTTGTAAATTAAATTAACTTTTTTTTTTCTTCATGAAATTATACTATAAAAACATCGTATAAGATCACAAAACATTTAAATTAAAAGTTAAAGATTGTATAGATACTAAAAAAAACAAAATTATCATTTTTTGGCGCCCCTATAATCTTGACGCCCGGGGCACGTATGCCCCCTTTGCCCCCTTTCTCGGCGGCCCTGTTTGCAGATATGGGATCGATGGGGACTTTTAACACTTTATTTGTAATAATGAACTCAAGTTATGTACTAATTTTCAGCTCTATGCGAATTATTGCAAATCTACCACTATTTTTTTGTCTATTTTTACCGGATTATAAATAAAAAAATTTCATTAGAGCTTTTGTGTTTAAAGATGGTTTTGTTTTATAAAGTACGGAAATATTATAAAAGATTTTACTTTCAATGGATTGGATGTGAAACTTCCATGACAAGTTTTCATCAAGAATTACGCCTAAAAAGTTAACATTAGATTCCCTATTTACATCTGTTTTATTGAATAAAAGATTTGGCAGTTTAAGTGGAGTATTATCAACTTTATTTGGTTTGTGGAACATGATGAATTTAGTTTTATCTAAATTTAGTGAAAGGCGGTTACTTATATACCATTTATTTACTTTAGATAATTCTTCATTAAAAATTTTAAAAAGAATTTTTATATCTCTGTTTGATTGGAAACGGATTGGAATCGTCAGCGAACAATATAAGATATAATTTTTTAGATGCTAAAAATAAGTAATTTATATACACAGAAACAATAATGGTCCTAAGATAGATCTTTGAGGTTTTTTTTTTGGTTTCATTTGTTTCATAGGTTATCCATTGTTTTCTGTTAGTCAAGTAGTCTTTAAACCAAAGTAAGTTTAAGTTGTTTACTCCATAAAGTTCTAATTTTTTTATAAGGATTTTATGATTGACATGAAAATCGGTGTGCTTTTGGCTATTTTAAGTTTGTCTGGTACAATACCAGACGTTTATGAGAGATTAAAAATGTGAAACAATATAGGTTCAATAATATCAAAGACTGATTGCGGCCGTAGCGCAATCAGTCTTTGATATTATTGGAGCAATAATATAAAAGACTGATATTATTGCGGTTAGAGTCCTTGCTTTATAAGCAGGAGATCGAGGTTCGAAAAGAGCTCTGGATATAATTTCGCGCCACGGAAAGGAAGGAGGTATGAACTTCCCGGTTAAATGCACTTCCGCGGTGCTCTGTGACAAGACCGTTAGAACTTCTTGGGGCACCTAAATAAAAGTTAAAAAAAGATTTAACTACATAGACACTATTTTTATCTATGCCTGCACTTTTGTTATTTTTCAGAGAGGAAAAAGCATTATGCAACTCACTTATATTTAAATTTAATTCTGTCATTACATTGTTTGCTGTTTTGAGGTAAGTTTCAAATTTTATGGTATTAGATGGAATTTTAGCCGCCAGATTTGGACCAATCTCAAGAAAAAAATCTGTTTAGTTTTTCAGCTATGATTTCTTTATCATAAACAACTTTTTCATCAATTAACAGTTTTTGTGGCAAATTGTTTTTAATCAAAATATTTTTACCAATTATTTCTTTGATTATATTCCAAGTTTTTTTTGTATTTCCATTAGTTTTTTCCAATAGCTTTTCATAGTAAGATTTTTTTGGTTTTTTCAAACAAATTTTTGTAGTTTTTGTATATTATTTCATTATATGTTTTATGTCTTTTTCATATAGTTTTTATTTTTTCAGTGATGATTTGATTAAACCTTTTGTCATCCATGGATTCAAAATAGACTTAGAATTTAAATTTTGTTCGATTAAATTTTGTTCGATTAAACGCCTTATTATATCGTTTACTAAAAAACGCGAGGAATAATTCATAAGTATTAAGCCCGTTCTCCATTCAGAACTTTTTGCGCTTTGGAGAAGCGGAAAAGTTCTTTGAGCATGCACAAACAGTTTTTTTAAACCCGTTCTCCAATCAGAACTTTTTGCGCATGCTTAAATAACTTTTCCGCTCCTCCAAAGCGCAAATAGTTCTGAATGGAGAACGGGCTTTATTTGCATTTTGTGTTTCATACACTAAGTTCCAATCAACAGAATTTTTTAATAGATGGCGAAAATGTGTTTAGGAGTTTTCATTGATTTGACGTACCAATATTTTTGATTTAATGGAATTGTTTTTTTATGTTATGTTTTTAGTGGTTAGAAAGATAGAAAAATGATCACTTATGTCGGTTTTAATTATGTCTGTTCTTACGCAGCATTTCTGAAAATAGTTTGTTTAGTTATTGACTAATGTTGACGATGTCTTGTTGCCTTATTTATTGTTGGAATAAAATTATATTGCAAAATAGAGTCAATAAAGCATTTAGCATAATTTTTTGATGCATAATTTAAAATGTTTATGTTATAATCTCCAATTAAGTATACATGTTTTCGATTTTTACTGGTTTGGGTAAAAAAAATTTTAATGTGAGCTTTGAAATTTTTTAAGTTTCCAGCTGGTTGTCTATAAATAGAGTTTACAAAAATGTTTTTATCCTTTTTATTTATTATTTCAATGGATAACGACTCGCAATCTGTTTCATTCAAGCAAAGGTCATTACGCTGAATAAAATTTAATGAGTTGTGAATAAAAATACTCACCCCACCACCAGCATGTTTATGACGCGATTGATGAACTGATGCGTAATTGGCTAATTCAAAACATGCGTTTTTTTCATCGTTTTTAAGCCACGTTTCTGTAAAGGTAATTTTCCACTCATCCGTTTTTCTACGGGAAAGGGAAAGGGAACGGAAAAATAATTACGTGAGCATGCGCAGTTTCCTTACGGACAAATAAAAACTTTTATTAAGCATGCTCACGTGGTTATTTTTCCGTTCCCTTTCCCTTTCCCGTAGAAAAACGGATAAGTGGAAACTCATCTTAAGGCAGATAATTTTGAAATTGTGTTTGAGGTTATGCAGTATAATATTTAAGTTTTCAAAGTTTTTACTGATACTCCGAATGTTCAGAGTTTGAAATTGAGAAAGCATTATTGTTCTGAGAAAGAAAATGAGTAGATTCAGAAATTGAAAAATACTCAGTTTCAAAGCTTTTTGAACAAAAAAAATTTTTATCATTATCACTTAGCTTTAAATCTTCGTAGTTAAATTTTGTAGAAAAGTTATCCTCCATTTTAAAAACATAAAATTTAAAATTAAAAAAAAAAAATTAAATTAAATAAAGAAAGAACAAGGTAATATATATACATGAATAAAAAATTGTTAAAATATCACGAACCTAATTCTTTTTTCGATTGGAGGCCCAATCACGTATGATCAACCTATCGTACGATATAAAAGTGTATTTCCCAGATGCTCGTTCTACTTTCATCTTTTCTTTTAAAGCTTTTCTTATTTGTGTGGTCTCCGGACAAAAGTCTTCATTGATGAAAATATTTTTTCCTTTTAGATGAAAAGATTTTTTAAGAATTTCTGTTTTATCTTTGAAATCCAAGAGTTTTTCTTTTGAAATCCAAGAGTTTTAGCACGTTCGTTCTTGGCTTTTTTGCATCTTTCTTGCCAGTTCTATGAGATCGTTCTATTTTAACATTTTTTGCATCTAGATAATCTTCGAATAATTTTTTTACCTTTAATTCGGTCTCTTACCAGCTTTCGTTTTCATTCTCTTTTACACCGTCTATTCTTAAGTTATTTCGCCTCGAACGATCTTTCATTTCCCTTAACTTGTTTTTATATTAAGGAATTCCAAGTTTACTTTAGTTATTTCACTATCAGATGGATTTATCTTTTCTTGATAACTAATTGCAGTTTTTATTTTATCATCAATAAGCTGTTTATGAAAATTTAAGCTTAATTTCATTTCTTCAACATCTTTTATTATTAACTTAACTCGTTCGGCATTGTCATTTATATTTTTTTCAACTTTATCGAAACGGTCATGAAATATTTTTGCGCTTGAACTTACAATGGCTATAATGTTTATTTCTTGTTGTTTTAAGATTTCTTCAAATTTTTTTTTTTGTAATCACTAAACATCTCCTTCAACATTTAATTAATGTCATCTCGAGTAACTGCCATAATTAAATTTATATGATCTTAACGAAACTACATTCGTCAATAGATTTCACTTTTTTGCAAAACAAAACAAAAAAAATTTTATGGTGTTTTTAAGATATCAACTAAATAATTTTCTATATAATATCAATTATATAATTTTTTAACTATAATATAACTATATAATATCAACTATATAATTTTTTAAAAATCATTGATGAGGGGTGGGGGTGGGGGGGTGTCAGACCCTCCCCCCTCATCCACACACACACACTCCTATTGCGCCGGCCTTGCGTGTGTGCATAAGTAGTTCTTTTGAATGTTTAACAAATTATAATATGATTTTTAGAACTGTTTAGAAGTTTTCAAAAAGACGGCAAAACAGGTACTTATCATTTAAGTTTTAGTTTATATATAATATATAATTTAAAAAAACGCAAGGGGCATAAAATATGAAATGGAAGTATATAACAATTATCAAAATAACTAATATTATAAAGATTATATAAGATTAAAATAAATAAGAAAGTAACTTTAATAATATAGAGTTGCAGTTATAAATTTTTTTATTTTTATTTTTATTAACTCAGTGATCAAAATATAAACAAATACAATAAACCTATTTATAGTTACAAAATTAGAATTTATTTATAAATAAATTAAAATATAGAATAAATCTATTTATAGTTATAAAACTTGAAATTATAGTTATAAAATTTATTTTTTATAGTTATAGAATTAATTTATGTAGCGTCCCAGGGAAAAAAGTACTATAGAATTTCTATAAACTTTTGAAACATATGGCCTATAGAAATTCTATAGAATGTCAATTAATTTCTATAGAAATTGCTATAAAACCTTTTTTTCTACAGAAAAAAAAGTAGAAAAAAAAGTTCTATAGAAATTTCTATAGAAATTAAAAGAGATTCTATAGAATTCTATAGAATTTTTATAGGCCATATGTTTCAAAAGTTTATAAAAAGTCTATAGAACTTTTTTTTCCTGGGTGGGAATTATTGATATACTAATTCATCAGAATATCCTAATAAAGGAAGCCATTAAGAGATTGATATGCAGCTAAATCAGCTAAAACGGAGTGTCTATTCGCACGTTTTTCACGTGCGAATGGACTATATTTAATTATAGTCTATTCGCACGTTTAATTAAAAAAAGGTAAAGATCATCAAATTTAAAGGGAATTTCAAAAAATTAGATTTATTATTTATTTATTGGATTTTAACTTTAAAACTAAACTAGAGCAGTGGAGTTTAAAAGTATCAGTTTGATTCAAAGACTAAATTTGCTTGATGTTGTTGCAGTTCTCTGAAAGCTTCTCTAGAAGTATTTGTTACTGGCTACTGTACCTCTTTAATACAGTAACCAGGATTTTTTCTTAACACTGTTTTCTTTGTCAATTCTTATTGTAAGTCGTTGCTTGCTTGGTAACTATTGACCTCATTAAAAATAGTCGTACCAATCAATCCAATACAAATTTTCCAAAAGCTACCAGAAGATTTTGTTACAAGATAGTTAAACTTTTGAATAAATCTTTACTCTACAATTCGGGATTTTGCTAATTGGTTGATAGTTGAAGCCAATGATGATAGTTGAGGTCAATGATAGATAACGATATAATATAAATGATAAAATTGTATAAGCCGGAGGCGGATTACCCATCAGGTAAAGTAGACAGTTGCCTAAGACCGTGGCCTAGGACCAATGGCGTAGCTACCATATAGCAAGAGTAAGCAATGCTTAGGGGCTCTTTTGCCAGGGGCCCTTTACCCTAGATTATTTCGATTTTTTTCGAAAATTATGTCAAAATTGGATTTAAGTGATCGACTGTAGCCTCTGCATCTTGCTAAAATTAGATTACAAATTATTGACATCCGTAACCGTAGCCACTGTATCTTGTTAATAACGTTTAATCAAAATTAACTTTTTGCACTTACATTTTACAGTTTTTGCGTATCCTGTTGGATCATTTGTAGACAGATTATGTAAATTATAAAAAAATAATTGTATCTAACCCGTATTTAAATATGGATGGTTTAAAAAAATCAAATACGATAAGTGGAGCATGTAAAAGAAAACTTAAAAAACAAAAAGAAGAAGAATTGAAAAAATAAAAAAAATTGATTTCTTTTGTACAGAAAGGAAAGAAAGAGTTGCAAATATGTGAACGATAGACCGCAATGATAGAATGGTTGAGCGGGGACACGATAATGATATCGAATTAACAGATGCTTTTGAAGAGAGTTAAGAGATAAATAGGAAAGTATTAACAGAAGTGCAAAGTGTCGATATTATTCAAATTGAAAGAGATGATATAATTATTACAACTGATCTTGGGCAATCAAAACATTTCTGATGAAAAAAAGAGATTAATAATAAATCGTTCGCCCCATAGACGATAAGGACCGTTTACTAAAGATCCCACTCAACAAAATAGATGTTTTAGTGAAACTTATTATTATTCTGTGGCAAAATATGGTCCAATATCACGCATGTGGCTCTGCTATTCCATTGTTTTGGACGCTGTTAATTATGGAACCTTGCTGGCTGTTCTCAAATACCAATAGTCAAAGGCGTTCTGGTATAAGAGATTGGAAAAATTTGTCTCCACGCATAGAAACACATAGTTGTTTCTAACAACACATTAAAGTATGTGCAGTACACAAAATGTGGAAAAACCTTTTATTTTATTGGATTTTATGAATTAAAGGACCATTCAGCAGAAGGTATGACTGATCAGGTAATGCAGATTCTGAAAGAAATGAACATTCCCATAGAAAAATGTTATGGACAACGTTACAATGGGGCTAATGTTATGAGAGGTGTGTACAATGGTGTACAAACAAGAATTAAAAGTATCCAACCAAATGCAGAGTATGTGCATTGTGGCAGTCACAATCTCAATTTGGTAAATTATGACTGCGTTAATGGCTGCCGTGAATTATCGTCATACTTTGCCACTCTTCTGAATATATATATATATTTTTTGGAAACCGCATGATGAGGTGGGATCTTCTATCTTCATTCACTGGCGAGTCAGAGATTATCTTAAAAAAGCTGAACCCTACTCGCTGGTTTGGTAGATTACAGTCTTTAATAGCTGTTAAAGTTTGCTATATTGATATATTGAAAGCTTTGGCTGAAATCAATCTGAAATTAAAAAAGGTTAAGAGAGATGAGGCTATCCAAAGACGTTGTTAGTTTACCAGAAACAGAGCTTTTAAAGTTGTGCGCCAACCTCAAAAACAAATACCCTGAAGTGATATCCTCTGAGTTTCAAATTCAGTTTCTTCACGCAATTTCTCTAATAAAAAAAGAATTAAATGAAAAAATGTCTATAAAAACATTTTCAGAATTGCTTCTTGCAAAGTACAACTGTTTAGAAAGTGAATTTTCTGAAATCTTTACTTCTTTCATATTGTTCTTAACACTTCCAGTTACTGTAGCCACTGTTGAACGGTCATTTAGCAAATTGAAAATTATAAAGGATTACAAAAGAAATTCTATTGGCCAAAGCAGATTACGGAATTTTGCAATACTAGCTATTGAACATTAAGAGGCAGTAAAACTATAGTTTTACTGCCTACTATAGTAGACTACTCTACTATAGTAGACTACTCTACTATAGTAGACTACTCTACTATAGTAGACTACTCTACTATAGTAGACTACTCTACTATAGTAGACTACTCTACTATAGTAGACTATACAGATCTTGTCAATGATTTTGCGAACGCAAAAGCGAGAAACAAGAACTTCTAATTAACAATATTCTAAATTTGTTACTTTTAAGTTGTAATATTGTATTTTCATGAAAGACTAGCTCACAAACTTTCAGCATATTAAGTCATTTATTTTTAATTTTTATTTTAATTTGTTAATTTGTTCAAATATTTTATTGATTTTCAACAAGAAATAAATGTAAAACTACAAATACAAAATTAAGAACACAATTTTACTTTTATAAATTATATTATGCCGAGTTAGGTCATATGGGTGTGACCACAGATTATTACCTATGGGCCCAAAATTTCTAGCTAGTATTTTTGTAAAAAAATCGGTTCAATTTTTTAATAGCGTTATTATTTATTTTACTGATGTTTTTAAGTAATGCTAATTTTCTCATCGAAGCTTCATGATGGGCTAGCAGATGAGACTATATTCTCACCACGAGTGCGTTTTAAAATTTAAGTAATTTTAATAATATAAGATCACTTAAAGAACTGAGAAGACACTTGGATGTGTATACAACTGTTTCCAATAAGTTTTTATATATATATATATATATATAATGTACAAAATAATGATGATTAGCAAACTTCGAGAAGAACCAAAAAATATCCTAAAAAGAGACTTACACAAGTAATATAGAAACTAATTTTAAAGAAAAGTTATTTACTTTTATGAGTACATCAGATTTAGTAACTTTAAAATGAATAATAATAATATTAGTCTTGAGCAGAACTTCGCACCTTTAGGAAGCAAGGTTTGAAGAAATTGTTTCTTAAAATGATAAACGCACTTTGCATGCATTCGTATTTAATGATAAGTTATTGCACCGGAGACCCATCATTCTACGATTAAAAATGATAAATATTTGGTCAAAAACGGCAAGCAAAAAGTAACACAACTTAACAATTATGAGTATGGAGTCCTTCATTCTGATTGCAAAACTGAATTTTAAGATATTTTTTAAATTTTGTAAAGATCAAGAAAAATGCCTTATTTTGTAAAAAAATACAAACAATGCTGTGTTATATGAATGATAACTCTTAACCGGGACAAAAAGAAGAGAATGTTTGCCTTATTGCTTCCCCGTGATTAAATTCATATTATTTATTATTAAATTTATTATCATTGTTGCAATTTTTTTAACATTTAAAATTAATTTTTATTATTTTTTTCTCAACTCCAGTAATTAGTTATATGCATAGAAATATGTATATACAATAGTCGCTTTACTAAATGTCAAGTAAAATAAAATATAAATTAGTTAAATATTTTTTCTTATAATATCCCAAAAAATATTTTTTGGGATAAGACTTTGATGAGCTGGAGATGAACAAGGTCTTCAGTTAACATACTTGGTAAAAGCTTTCAAGCACTATTTCCTGCTGCTGAATATTTTCCAAAAAAATTAATAAAATTTTTTGTTTTTGCAATATATCTGTTGTAACTCTCAGAGTTTGTCAAAGCTTTGATTGTAAAAGTTTAATGTTTCTTTTCGTGTTGCATCTATTTTTGAAATCGAATTTGATGCTATTTGTTCAGCCGCAGCAAGACCTTGTGTGGCAAGTAGCTTTAGGTTTTCTTTTAAGTTGGATTGTTTGCAATCATGAAGTAAGCCCTAGTCCAAAAGGGTAAGGCAGTCAGCACAACTTTTCTTGCTTTTCTTATTGCGAAGTTTAGTTGTATCAGATTGAGTTTTGATGATAGAGAAATCGAAAAGAGGAGGCAGTGTGACATCTTTTCTCTAATTCATTCTGCGAGTGGTTAATCGACAACGCTCACAAATACCTATTGATACTAATAAAATCACTAAGACTTTTAGTATAAAGTATTAGTATAAATAGGACTTTTTTTTTTAAAAATCAAAGTTGTAGAAAAAAAAAATAGTTTTATATTGTGTTGCAATTAGCCCCAGTCTCCCCTACTTGTAAAAAGTTTTCCGGCAGCCTCTGACAGTTATAAATTTGCTGAATAAGGACAAGGCAGCAAATTTAAAAATAAAACATGAAACATAAATAAAAATATTCTAACAACATCAATCGCGTAACCAATTCACTACTAAGACCTGTTGTTGTTAAGTCATTTCTTAATACTTACCTGTTAATAATTACTTACCTGTTGCATTAAGTTACTCCTTAGGTAAGCTTAATTGTTCGTGTTTTTCGAAGAATCCGTCAGCTAACAATTGAAAGACGTGGAGTGATTTATTCTGGGGCAATGCAACTTATGGACAATGTGGTACAAAACGTAGAAGGAAAAGATTTACTTTTTGATCCAAACGATTACAAAAGTCGATATCAAGTATTTTTATGTTTCAATATCAATTGTTTTTTTATAAAAAAATAAAAAAACTTCTTTAAAGATTTTTAATTTTAGGCCTTTATTTTGCTTTTTTGTTTATTTAGTTTGCTATTCCTTTATGGGCTAGAAAAACATGCGCTCTGTTGCCAGAGCAAAGAAGTGAAATAGAAATATTAAACATGGCTAGCTTAATGAGACAATTAAAAATATTTCGCAAATACTCTTCAAAAATGCAACTGTTGCTTGCAAAGATAGTTACTTATGAACGGTAGGACATTTTATATGTTAATTAGTTATCATGGTTATTTTTTTACTACCAATTTTTTATATTTAAATTAGTAAACCAAAACCTCACCTAAATGAACTTGCTATTAACGTTACCAAAAACGCTAAGAACGTCTTTTTTTTTTTTCTTTTTTTTTTAAATATATATTTTTACAACTATATAGTTTTAGCAATATATACTTTTATTACAAATACAACCAAAATGCTTCAAAAATAACTGAAATAATATTAAGATATATTTGATGTACAAAATAATATAATAAAGTAAAATAGTATTTCAATTCATATTTTAAGAAGACATGATAAGTTTAAAAAAAACAAAAATAAACTTTTAGTTATGTAGTCTAGGGAAACTTGCAGAAAACTGTCTGAAGTCTTGCCATCGAGAACCCTTTCTTTTTAAATAATTTCAAAACTATTTTATTCATGACCTATGTTTTTCAATATAATTACTCGTGTTTTTATAAACTAGAAGCATAACATAAACATAACATACTTAAATATTTAAGTTTTAAATTTTTGTTTTGAACGTATTTTTGATTTTTTGATATTACTCATAAGATATCAGAAAATTTTTATATAATTGCTTTTATTTATGAGTTTTTTAAGATTAGCTTTTAAGGAATTTATATTTTTCAGAAGAGATTGAGGAATTTTTAGGTAGTAACTTGTTATACAGATAAGGAGCGCAATTAGCTACAGAGAGTTGCGATAATTTTCTTTTTTTCAAGAGTACTGTATCGTTTCAAGTTGCTTTAGTGTTAAACTTATTTATATTAGTTTTAAAAAAGTTATTTATAAATTGACTTGGAACAGTTCTCATTTTATGTTTGAGCATAAACAAAATATTTTGATGACCAACGTTTTTTAAGATTTTTGTATTGATGGTATTTATGTGAGATTTAAAGAACCCTAATACAAATTTCTCATCATTAAAGAAAGTGTTTATTATAAGTGTTTATAAAGGATTTTATTAATGAAATCTAGGATAGCAAGTTCCGTTGAATATTGCGTTTGAAATCCGTATTGATTTTCACTTATTTTTCTGTGTTTCTGTGTTTTATTAAATACTTATACAATCTGTTGTTAATTATTAGTTCAAGGTGTTTAGAAAATGTAGGGAAAATTAAGATTGGTCTATAATTGCTTGTAGCAAATACAATTTTTGCTATTTTTAATTTGTCTGGGACAATCCCATTTTTAATTGAACAGCTAAAGATATTAAAAATAGGCCTTTTTATTTTAGAAAAAACGTCAAGTACAACATTGCCAGAAATATCATCAATACCTGGGGCCTTATTCTTTTGATTGGTGTTTCTATTTCATCTAAACTTAGATCACTATGTGACAATGAACTTTCAAAGTCATTTAAATAATTCTGAAATGATTTTTCTGAGCTTTTTATTTTGATGCCAGGTTTACACCAGTGTTAACAAAGAAATGATTGAATATTTCTGATATATTTTTTTGTCTTCGTATTCAATATCGTTTTCCTTTATTCTGGAAGGTAAAATGTCAGAAATTATTTTATTTTGTAAAGTTAAAATAAAACAATCTTTTGTAAACAGAAAAAGTTTATAATGTCTATTTGAATTTGACTTTATTTCACTTTTTTTATCTTAATTTTGTTTCAATAAAAGTCTTTGAAAACCTTTTGGATTTATAATATATTTTAAAATATATTGTTAAACTTAAAAGATAATAAGTTATAATAATTATGAAAATGAAAGAAAAAGTATTATTTAAATGTATATATATATATATATATATATATATATATATATGTATATATTAGTTGCATAAAAAAATAAAAGTTTTTAAAAATTGCCTTGCGTGAACTCTAAATGTATTTAAATAATAAAATAACACTCGCTATAAAATTCTGGTTCTTTGAGACCCAGGTTGATATACTTTTGAAGAAAAAAAAAATTCACTGATATATGGGAGCCAGTGTGTAATCAGAGGTCATGGTGGGTGACCTTTTTCGAAAATTAAAACTAATGATTAAAACTAATGACTTTTCAGTTACTTTTAAACCAAAGTTCATCTGTTTTTTATACAGGAAACTGGAGATACCAAATATTTACCAAAAAGTCAACACCCTAATATATGTATCATAAAGGAAAGTATAATAACAAATAAAAATACCTAAATAATATTACCCGGAAAAAGATTTTTGAAAAATTCAATGCAGAAATCTGGGATTTTTCCAGATGCACTTAAATTAGCAAAAGTAACTCCTTTATACAAATGTAATGATCATTCTGACATTACAAACTACAGACCCATATCAATACTTTCTGTATTTTCAAAACTCTTCGAACGAGTAGTTTATAATAGAATCTATGATTACTTTATTAAAACAATTTTTTTTACCCAAATCAGTTTGGCTTTCAAAAATATCTTTCAACTGAGCATGCAATTATTGAAATAGTAAATCAAATAACTAATGGTTTTGCAAATAATAAGTTTACTTTAGGAGTATTTCTTGATTTATCAATAGCATTTAATACAGTGATCATTGCATTCTCTTAGATAAAATAAGACATTACGGAATAGTTAATAAAACCTATTATTGGATTAAAAGCTATCTTACCAATAGAAAACAATATGTACATAATGTCCATTCTGGAGTATTAAATGTTTTATGTGGAGTCCGGCAGGGATCAATTCTTGGTCCACTCCTTTTTCTTATATATATAAATGACTTCTGTAATGCATCCTTAAAACTGAATTCAGTCATGTTTTCAGATGATACGAATCTATTTCTTACCAACAATGATATCAAAACATTATATGCTGACATGAATATAGAACTAGTTAAAGTAAACAACTGGTTTAAAGCTAACAAACTCTCGCTTAATGCTGAGAAAACAAATTATATACTTTTCCATAAAAAAATACAAGAGAGAAATATTCCTCTCAAATTGCCTAAACTATTCCTAAATGATAAACTAATTAAAAAGCAATCCAATATAAATTCTTCTTCGGAATCATTGTTGATGAAAATTTATCCTGGCTTCTTCATATAATATACATCCAGTCAAAAATCACCAAAATCATAGGTTTGATGTATCAAGTTCGCTCTTACGTCAATACACAAAGTCTGAAATTAATTTACTTTTGGCTAATACATAGCTTCATTAGTTATGCAAACATTTCATGGGCAAGTACTCAAACATCAAAGCTTAAAAAACTGTATTGTTTGCAAAAACATGCTTGCAGAATCATTTACTATAAGGATAGGCGTGAACACGCTAAATCCTTAATGAGTGATATGAAAATGATGAATGTGTTTGAAATAAATGTCTATCAGCATTTAATTTTCATTTATCGTTACAAATACAATATCTCTCCTATAAGCTTTAATAACAAGTTTGAATTAAATACAAATGAAAACTATAATCTTAGAGCAAATATGTTAAACACAATTAAACTGCCTCGGATAATAAATAAATATTCAGAATATAGCATTTCATATCGAGGTCCTAAAGTATGGAATACCTTTCAAAAAGGATTCAAAGGTACGGTAAATTCGTTAAGTTTATTCAAGTTTATAACAAAAAAAGAAATTTTCAAAATTTGAGAAACTTTTTTGGTTAATGATACCACTCTACTTTTTGTTGTTCTTGTTGTTGTTGTTTAACAATCTTATTTGCGAATTACGCATTTTATTACGATATTTATTACGATATTTAATTGAAACTTTATTACGTACATATTTTACAAAATTTTATTACGTATTACGTTATACGATATTTTATTGAAATTTTGTTAAAGGGGCTCTATGAAAAGATTGCGATGACGTACTGTCATCCTCATCTTCTTTGAGACCCATCTGTTTTTACTTGCTTTTTTTTAAAGAAGCACGAAGTTGTAAAATGTTAAAAAACAGAAAAAAAAAAAAAAAAAAAGATAAGTGTTACAATAAAGGGGTGCACAAAACATCGAGACAAATTGAAAAATGTGATAAGTCAGAGTAGGGTCGGTATTATGTTGAAAATCATTCATTTTCAAACAAACTAAATACAGAGAAGTTTTAAAAGACTATTTTTGTTTTAAATAATCACTTTTTAACAAAATGACAGACTTCAGACGTTCAGGTACTTGATCGCAAGTTTGTCACAACATGTTCTTATCAAGTTTAGCTCATATCTTGGCCAGTTCTTCTTTTAGGCCCTCCATATTTCGATAGGTTTTCCTTAAATACATATCTTTCATCACTGACTAATTTCAAAACCTATTAGATTAAGGATGACCCTCGTATCTGATGTCCAAGCATGAGGAATTTTATCTCGGAAAAATTTGACAGTTTTCTTGACTTAATGGACTAATGACTTAATGCAGAATTCTATTGAAAGGCCTATTGCCTTTGCCACCATTACCACTACATATAACAAAGGCCATTCTGTTGTTCTCTCGCTGCTTCATTCAGAAACTGTTGTTTGTTTTTTACAAAACTCTTCAGGCCTAAATCTTTGTTAATAAACCTTTAAACTGATTGTCTTAAAGTTCCGGCTTCACTGGCAAGCTTTGAAATTGAGCGGCTCGGATTACGTTGCAACTTATTATCAATTGCATTTATAAATTTTTTCATTCTAGTAGTTGGTTTTTTGGCCAAATTTTTTCCAAAAACCATCTTCTCCTTTTTGAAGAGCTGTTAGGACTTTGCAGACATTAGATCTATTTAATTTTCCGTTCATTTTCTTCACAATTTCTGATTTCTTTAGTCCGGAAAATGTTTTACAGCTTTTTAATGGTTTCACGCACACCTGTAAATGGTTACAACATTGTGATTCGGCGCGTACACTACATATTTCACAAGCAAAAATGAATAAAATCAAAAGAGACTCTTAACAAAATTATTAGCAGCATTGATATATGTATGTATGTATGTATGTATGTATGTATGTATGTATGTATGTATGTATGTATGTATGTATGTATGTATGTATGTATGTATGTATGTATGTATGTATGTATGTATGTGTATATGTATGTATGTATGTATGTATGTATGTATGTATGTATGTATGTATGTATGTATGTATGTATGTATGTATGTATGTATGTATGTATGTATACATGTATGTATGTTTGTATGTATGTATAATCACAATATGTATCAATAATGATTATTTTATTTAGTTTTGGTAGACGTAGAGTTGTTATTCGAAAAGGACATATTGGAAGATGTTTTTATCTAGTTTTTTCAGGTACTGTAGGTGTAGTTATTCAGGGAGACGAAGATCGTGCGTTTGTTAATGATGAAAAACCAGTTAATATTCTTAGGAAAGGCGATGCTTTTGGGGTAAGAAACTTTTGAAATAAAATGTATACTACTATATAGTATTTTAATAAAGAGTAAAATACTTTAAATATTTATTTAGGAGTTAGCTTTGGTTCGAAATACTGCACGTTCAGCGACCATTGTATGTCTAGAAAACACTGAGTTTTTAGTTATTGACAAAGATGATTTTTTAAGACTTGGAGTTCACAAATATGCTTACGAGGAAATGCTTGAAAGGTGCAACTTTATGAGGTAAAAAGTTGCAAAAACTACTTAACAACGTTGCAATAATTTCAGTGTTTGATATCAATTGCATCTATAAGCAAAATTTGTTGAGTTAGGAGACATACTTTAATAATGACACACAATTTTCAGCTCCACTCACGCCCGATCCTCCACTCCCACCCCCTCTATATATGTGACCGACTACAATATTATAACTTTTTATGTTATATCACAAAAACCTAAACCCATTTCCTCCTCTAAGTGTGTGTCATTATTAAAAAATGCCCATTTATCTGATAATAGATAAATTAATAATGTATTTTTAAGTGAAAAATTTCTAGACAATTTTTAATATTTATTTTGACAACAACTTTAAAAATTTTAAACAATTTTAAAAAGTTGTTATTACTTTAAGTTGGTAGCAAATAGTTGTTCGTATGGTACGCCAAAAAAGTAGCCCTAAACAGTAACTGATAGGAGACAAAAGTGGTCCAAGACAATATTTTATCATTGTGAAATATTCTTAGTCGAATTGCACAAGAATGATTACTTGTATCTTTACTATTCATTGTTTATATTAACGATATTATAAACAATAAATAGTAATAATACATCATCAAATTGTATCTGATACAATGAAGAACTGTATCTGGTACACTATATTCTGATGATATTAAAAATGTATTTAATTTAGATTCCTCAAATAACGGTTTACTGTTGTAAAACTTGAATTTTTTATATATATATATATATTAAAAATATATATATTTTACAGATTTATATATACTTAAACTATTTTATTGTGCACTTTGTTTAGGTTTTGTTCATCAATTTTTGTTTAGATCATTAGAAATATTTAAAACCTGGAGTGATGAAGCATTAAAAGAGGTAGCAGAAGGAGGACGTCACGTTGAACTTTTATGCAACAATGTTGTTGAAGTAGATACTGTGCTTTCAGAATTTGTTTACTTTGTTAAAAAAGTAAGATTATATTTTATCTATAATAATATTGTTAATGTTTATTATGACAACGTACGTTAAAGTTTGTCATAAAAATTGACTAAAAATTAGCTTTTTTTTGGCACGATTAGACGTCATTTTTTCATCCAACAAAAAAATATTTTATTACTTTACTAAAATTCATGTTGCTATTCATATAGCTACAAATCAATATAATTTAGTTGTTATTTATAAAGTTACAAACTAGGCTACAGAGTGACTAGTTTATCAGCTAAAATACTAAAAATGAAATTAAAGTATAAAATAATATGTAAAATAATTTCAAATAATACATAAAGTAAAAGCACGATATAAATTTTTGTCATTAAGTTTTAACCACTCTTAAATTTATGGGATAGCATTAATATGAGGTAAGTGTGGCTTTAATCTTATATGACTTAAATGGTATATTTAATGTGGATTATGTGTGGCTATTATGCTAAAACTATAATATTATGCTAAAACTATAACGGTATAACTATTATAGTCAAACATGATCATCAACCGCACCCCATAAAGTTCGAATAATCCGCATTAAATTTTTTTTATATTATACATATTGAGTTTTGCTCATTAGTGACTTAATAGATCATTAGTGCAAACCGCTATAAATGACCAATCAATAACTTTTCAATGTGTTTCAATAGTGGTTAGTCATCGGCTGGCCTCTTTTGGCGGCTGCCATTAATGGTCTATTGAGTAACCGATAAGCAAAGCTACAGTGGACCGCTCAAAAGGCCTATATTTTTTTCATCATGGTTGTAATATAACATACAAAATCTCCAGGTTTCAGGTTTTCCTTGTTTAACTTTTCTATATCAAAATACAATTTAAGGTATAATAATTACATTAGTGATGGTGATTCATTTAAATGAATAGCTGAATCAAAGCAGTTTGGAGATGAACATAAAACTAATAAACTTGAATTTGTTAGTCATGTTTAATAAAAAGTTTAATTCACGATTATGTAAATTAAAGCAAAAAGCTAAGTGCGATTGTTGTCAGATGAAAAAAAAGTTTGGGTTACAACTTACTATTTTCTATATTTTTGTTGCAACTTCACATGATTTTATCAAAAGTCAATTAAAGAATTCGATAGTTTATAATTAACAAAAAATCAATACAATTAGTTGAATTTTAATTACAAAAAGCATTATTTAAATACAATATGTCATAGATTTTTGCGTGGAGGTTGCACTTTTTAGAAAGTTATCTTTATTTGCTTTAATTAATTTTTTTTTAATTTTGTTTAGGGACAACTGGACGTCGTTCGGCTCTTAGATCTATCTGTGCTGAACGAGGAAAAGTGTAATTATTACAGTAGATCTAAAAAAGACTCCTTCCAATTTAATACTCCAAACAATTCACCGTGCAGCACACCACATCTTTTAGAAAAAAGAAAAAAAACGAATGAAAATCAGTTAAGTCATCTATACCAACTATCTTTATACATTACTAACAAGACTTCAAATTTAGCTAATCTACCCGGTTTATCTACTGAGTTAAATTTGGGTTTAAAAAAAGATGAGACGCTAAAAAAAGACTGTATGCTTAGCTTTAAAACATCATCAAAAAATGAAACTGTTGGGTTGGGCACATTTATTAAAGTTGATTCTTTAACTGCGGGGCAAATTTTTGTATGTGTAGTTTTAAATTTTTGTGTATTTAGTATAAACCCATTAACTTTTATAAAGACATTTAAAAAATTAAAGTTTTTTTTTCCTTAAAATATGGTTTTCGATCACAAGGAATTTCTCCTCGTTTTTCTTACTATCAACTGCAGTTTGTAAATAATTATAAAAGAAAAATTTAAAAAATCCTATTTGGTTTTTAAGGGTATAAACTACATTTTGAGTGAAGAACACCAAAACGCCGACTGTAAGAGGCGCTTTATTTTGGTTAGTGCTGGTTGCGAATTAATTCGCATTCAAAAATCATTGATTAAAAGTAAGGCCGATCAATCAACTCTTGCTAAAATAAAACAACGATCTATTCCATATCCGTCTGATGCCGAGCTAAATGAAATATTTCTACGATATAACAGATGGAGGTAAGCGATTACAGATAAAAAAAATAAACATACATTTTTATAAAAATTTATAAATTCTATAAATTGCAAATGTAAAATTTAATAAATATAGATGTTTCAAGGAAAATTTAGTGGACCGCATTATAAACTACAATCAAAACATGGAGATTGCTAAAAAAAATGTTAGTATACAAGTGCCTAAATATTTTAACTCAAATTCAATATCAGTAGATCAATGTACTTGGTTGCAAGAAGAAGTAAGTCCACTTAAAGGTAACGTTTTTTATAATTTTTCATTGTAACACAATACTTATTTATATAAATCTAAATGTAATACCGAGTCTACAAATAACTGTTGACATAAAAAAGGTTATTCTGGTCATTAATTTGACTTTAAACTGATAGTATTAAGTTGAATAATATCATTTTCATTGCAGTGCTCAACTTCATTTTCCATCTGTTCTTCGTCAATGGCTTTTAAATTAAGGTTTTTGTTGTTTTCAATACGGCTCTTTATGGCATAGCAAGATGTTATGTAGCATCGTTTAAATCTTGTAAAATGTGGAATAAATTGGATAGGTATTACTGCATTACCTAAAAGTTTTCCTAATTTATCAATGAAATGTTGGAAGACCTAATAGTATTTACATTAACTCGATTGTTTTCGTCTTGATTCTCAATAGCACCTGTTTCTACATTTGCATCAGTTTCCTCGTCTGTCTGTTATATCCTATTCATTGTGTTGATTTATTACTAATTTTTCATCTTTACAATCAAATTTTACAATCAAATTTTCACTTTCACAATCAAAGAGCCTGCGGCTTAATTTAACTCAACACGGGAAAACACGGGATTGACAGGTTGATAGACTTTAATTCCGTTAACGAACGAGACTTAAACCGGCTAAATAGTCACATTGTTCCCGAACCGTGACTGACTTCTTAGAGGGACTGTTAGTATTTATTTTGAGCAGCCGTGGCACAGTGATAGTGCACTTGCCTCAGAAACAAAGGATCCGTAATTCAAAACCCACCTCTGGGCAAGTTTTGCGACATCGGTGAGGATAAGACCGTTAGGAATTCTTCGGGCACCTTAATAAAATTTAAAAAAGTTCATCTGCCTCATCTGGCGGCTCTGTTTCATTGGTTTTATATGCCTCATACTGAAGGTGTAATTAGCCTCTGGGGATCTTTCAAGTTTCTTGGGGTAAGCATCAAGTTTTTTGAAATACTTAAAGTTTTTCTCCTACTTTTTTTTTCCCGTTTTTATTACTACAAAAAACTCCCTCTGAAACAAGGTTATCTATTCAAAAAATTGGTTACCCACACAGCTTTAAATTGGCTAGTTACATCAATCTCCTGCAAGTTCTAACTTTCTATCAGCATTTGCATTATTTGATTCCTGGATGGCTGTGGAATTTTGTTGGGGTCAAGCCTTAACTGCTTTATCATAAGGTCTTTCTCCAACTTTAGGTATTTGGTTTTTTAAGGCCTGCGGAAATCTGCATCATTAATTTTAACATCTCCTGTAACACCACCACTTATTCCAACGAAAATATAGCCTTTCCTTTAGTAGGCCAGCTTTGATTTTGGACATTATATGAATACTATAATCATCTAGAACATAAGTCCCGTAATTTTGATGTGTAAAAACATTGTGCTTGTTAACAGTAATTCGTTCTCTTGAAAGAGAATAATTTTTTTTGATGTATGTATTAAAACCAGTGAAGTTCAAGACCTTTTGGGAAGAACTTCCATTCTGTTGGAGTGGCATTTAATCACCATTCAGCACAGGGAGATCAACTCTAAAATTTTTTAATAAAGTATTTATGTACAGCCCAATTTCCTGGGTAAACGTGCTTTAAGGGTTCCACGGATATCTACAAACCACTCAATTAGAACTTGTCTGACCTCTGGGATGGTTAATTTTTGTTCTCTTTCTGCTTGACGATTCTTAGACATTTTCCTCCAGTTGTAGGGTTTTTGATAAGGTGGGGTTATCTTGCTTAACATCTTTAAGGTCTGAATAAAACTCTCTTACAGCTCATACAAGGTAACCTTTGGGTTGCAATTTTCTAACGTGTTTCTTTTTTTTACTCAAGTTTACATTTGAGAGTTTTCAGAAATCGATAGCTCGTTCTCTTTTTTGTAACTTTTATCATAATTTCAGTAGGATTTAATATGCTGATATGAAGGCCGTTTTCCACAGGAAAATTCTACAGGACAAAATAAATCGTGCTAAGCAATTTTTTTCATTATTTTGAAAAATATTATGCAAAACGGAGTTTTGATTTCTGCATAATATTTTTCAAAATATATTTTCATAATATTTTTCGCGTTACTTTTTTCTGCATAATATTTTTCGCGTTGGATACTTTCTTATCTGAAACATGGATACTTTCTTATCTGAAAATATGGTTAATAACTAAACTCTCATTTTTAATTGAAGAATTTACTAATGCAAATTTACCAATGTTCAGTGTAAATTCTAAGTAAATCCATAAGAACACCAGGTTGAGCATTTTGTTTGTTATTGTCAAAAAAACAACGTGGTTTCATTCATTTATTGTTGACATCATCGTGATATACTATTTAAAATAAGATTGGTTTTCGCTCATAACAATCCGCAAAAAGTCGAAACGAATCCGACTTTTTTTTTTTTTTGCTGTAGCGAAGCGAACAATTAGCAAAATTAGCAGATGTTTTGTCTGCGCATGTTTATTGACGAAAAAATTCGCTTTGCAAATATTAATATTTTTGCGATAATTTCTATAAAATAGTACCATAATTAAAAAAATTAATAAAATTCAAAACAGACAAATTTTGTGCTGCTCTTTGACAGAACCTTATCAAGAATTTGGTTATTTTAATTGAAAAATATAAACATTAAATGTAAATTATTTTATTTCATTTAGCTTCAAGCAACTCTTGTTCAAGCGATACATCCCGATCTTTACCAAGCTCTTTCTCTTTGAAAGGTAGAATATTTGCACCGCAAAGTACTCAACGAACATTAATGATAACCCATGGCGGGATTCGACACAAAAAAATTGGAAATGATATGAGAGACTTGCTTCAGAAAACTAAGTGCTTAACGACTTGATTTTTTTGACGGCATAAAAAACCGCCTTAATATAATATAAATTTATAAAAAATCCCTTTTTAAAGCTAAATTATATGTACTTACACCTGCACATATACTGACACATATATATATATATATATATATATATATATATATATATATATATATATATATATATATATATATATATATATATATATATATATATATATATATATATATGTATGTATATATATGCACACAAAACCGTTAACACTATATAAGTCTTTTATATTTAATTTTGTAACGACAATATTTGTAAATAACATTTTTATAAATGATAAATAAACTACACCGATTTCTATTAACAGGAAAATGTTTATTAATGCATGAATAAATAAATTCTTAAATACAAGTAAATATAATTTAAAATAAATAACTCTTTCAGTTTCAAACTATTGCATTTAAAATTAGAAAATTAGTACAAAATTATGCAAAAAAAAAAAATTACTTTTTAAGCAATGAACTGCTTCATTGTTAATTTTATACTATAAATAAAGGTTATAAATAACATTTAAATTCAAAACTATTTAAAACTAATTTAACTTATTACATTTTTGTTTTCATTTTTCACACATATTATATATAAACTTATTAATAAATAATTGTAGACTTTGCAACTAAAAAATTGAAATTGAAATTTAATTATAATAGCAAGCTAGCATGAAAACTTTGCTCTACTATGCTGATTATATCTTCCAAAGCAATTGGAGCCACCTGAATAAACAGTAAATTTATCATCATTATCAGCAGCAGCATAGCTGATGCAATTAAAAAAATAACAAGTTCAAGATTTAAAAAAAAAAAATTTTTCAACATAAATTTAAAATGATTTTATATATTTTTATCAACTCATTTATTTTTATTTATAGTAGTTTATTATTAAATTATTTAAATACACGAAATTCTTGAGTTTGGCTTTCCAACATTTGATACTTGGTTATTAAGACAACAGATTTAATTAAATCAAAAAATACAATTAATTTTTGTATCACATTTTTCTGAACATGCCAATAGGGGGGCGGATCCAGAACTTTTTGGTATTTGAGTTAAGTAAATTTCAGATATGTTCTGAAAACAATGAACTTGTAAAGATTTTAATTGTATGAAAGCATACATAATCAGATTTAATCTCGAGGAACTTTTTATAATAAATACATAAGATCCTGCCCAAAAATTACATCAAAACAAACATCCAAAGCAGTGCATAAAAACCCTAACAAGACACTAAAAAGGTTTGTTGTGTTTGAGAAAAATGTTTATCATGACGAGAAACTAGATGTTAGATACAGTTCAATTAGAGCAATACAGTTCAATTAGAGCGCCAGAATATTTTTAAGGATATATTTATATCAAAAGGTTTAAATTTAAAATATAAAATACTATTTTTGGGATTTAAATTGTCTGAATTTTTAATTTGAGATTTATGCGTTTTTTTGTGTATCAATTTTTTTTGTTATAAGATTTATTTTTCAATATATTTAGGGTTGCCACCATTATTTAGGAACAAAATTCCTTGATTTTCCCTGATTTTTTTGCCAAAATATTCCTTTTTGCTCCCTGATTTTCCCTGATTTTTCGCTAAAATTTTGCTTTTTTCTCCCTGATTTTTCCACCTGATATTTCCACCTGATATTTCCAGCATTCAAATGCCCAAACTTAACTTTTAAACTTCTCCAATAACCCCAGAGTATTTTTACCTCTAAGAAAACAGATACTATAATCCCCCAATGAGTAATGAACCAATCAATTTACTTGAAAATTACAATAAATAATCAAATACTTCAATCAACATATGAAATTTTTCTTTGAACCAGGGTGTTTTAAAACGGATATGTTCAATAGCCATTGAAAACCTGTCAGACTTATTTAGGGTACAAGATAATGAAATTCAAAAAAATGTAATGAATTTAATAAATTTCTAATTGTATGTTTTACATACATCTTTTAATACTTTTTGCTTTTCTCTAAGTCCCAATATTTCTTATATTGGGACTTAGAGAAAAGCAAAAAGTATTAAAAGATGTATGTAATGCTTTTAGATAATTAAATTTATCTAAAAGCATTATCACACTATTTTCTTTTGCTTGGAGTTTTCTATTTTCCTCTTAATAGTTTTATATTGTAATGATGCACTACAAACAGCATTTATCATTTCATTGTTTATTTCTATTTTGTTAGCCTTCAATTTGTTTGACTCCATAAAATCCTTGATAGTGCGATGAGATATAAGTGACATTCCTTTCATTTTTTCACTGAGCATATTACTGGTAATACTGAAACCTCTCTCAATTGATGCTTGCCCAAAATAAATATCAAAACTTTTGACAAAATCTTATAATTTACACTAACTTTAATGGTTTCAAAATGAAACTTGTTTAAACAATTTCCAGTGTAAAAATATTTGAATACAAGTAAAAGAATAGATGAACTTTCCTCTCACAACTTTAAAAATTTTATGAAAGCTTGATCACATTCATTTGAAATAATATGTGAGCAAGAAAGAACTAGATGTAGTACAGATTTCATCTGATGAAGATCAGCTTTTTGTTGAGAAAAATTTGACACTGGACTGATGCAACCAGTTGCTTTCAAAAAAAAAATTCGATTCAAACTTCTTTCAAATATTTTTTCCAGAATTCCAATGATAATGAGACGTAATCTTTTAAATAATGATAATGCATCTTTTTTCATCAATTTGATTATGTCATGTTCTGCAGCAAATCCAATTGTCATTAATTTTAATAGCAGAAAGTTTTCCTTTTTTGTAAAATCATATTTTTGAAGTTGCCTGCCATTAACGATGCTGCTAAGGATATCTTGTTTTATAATTAAACCCATTAAACATTTAACAGTTGAGAACAAATCTTTAAAAAGAAAAGGAATCATTGGGGCATTGGTTTGATATCTCAGTAAGATTTTCTGCAAAAAACTTGCAATGTAACCAAAAAACTACAATTTAGTCAAAGTTAACTCATCTTTTGTTCCCCCGAATCAGAGTTGTTAGTCCTTGGCCTTGACCTTGCCTTAAGACCAAAAATTGAGGCCTTGGCCTTAATCTTGGCTTCGAAACTGTTAGCCTTCGACTTGGTCTTGACCTTGAAAATTTTGGTCTTGGCCTATAAAAAAAAAAAACGAATTTTCTTATTGATTTTGTTTAATTCAGCCCATACCCTTGGTCTATTTTTTAAAAATGTGGTTTTATTGTCACACCACTTGCTACTTACAGTTGTGTTAATAATTGGCCTTAACGCAAGGCAAAAGTTAAAGTATTTAGTCTTGAAAATGTTTGCGTAGACGTTGGCCTTGAAACTCTTAATTTTGACCTTGGCCTTAAACTCTTGGCCTTCGGTTTGTCCTTGGCCTTGTAACCTTTGACCTTGATCTTGGACTTGTAACGTGTGGCCTTGGCCTTGGTCTTGATACTTTTGGCCTTATTAACAACTCTGTTCCGAACACTAGTCATAGCTCTTTCATTTTGGTTGCTTACTTTTAAGAAAAGTCTCCCAATACTTGGTTAGTTTTTTTAACATTCTCCCAAATTAAACAAAGTCTATCTGCAACTTTTTGATCTACCACCCAATGTTTTGAGCAAAATGCACAAGGAAAACACTCACATTCAGTAACAGTTACAAAATCAGCTCTTCTAGCCGAAAAATCAATCATAAAAGGTTGTATGATGCTTTCATTAACTTCTTATTCGATTCAGCAGATTGAAAACCTGATTTGAAACCATGTATTAGATGGAGGTTACAGCTTCCAACGTTAAGAAGTTTAAGTAGCTCTTGTTGATCATGCTGTATTTCAAGAAGATTAAGAAGGGACCAGTTCACATTTGTACCTTCTATACTTAGTTGAGTCATACTTTTAAGTAAATTCTTTGCTGTAGGGTGACCTAAAAATTTAAGAGTCAAAGTATCTGGATTCAACATGATTTAGATGGCTGTTCCAAAACTGAATATTTAGATTTAATTGACCATTTTTAAAAGAATCGTTCAGACTTTCATCGAGTGAAAGAGTATAATAATTTTTTTATATTTTTAGTTAAAAGTCTGTAAAATTAAGGCCCATTACCAAAATTAATTATATAACCAAGTTTTGTTTCACTCATTTCATAAGATTTAGCAATATTGCTATTAGGGAACATTTTCTGGTAAAGTAGGCCATTTTCATTACATGAGTTTAATGAAAAATTATTCTGTATTGCATTTAAAACAGAGTAGATTTCTGTACAACTTTTATCACATTAATATACTGTTTGAAGTGCTTGCTTTATAGGTGTAGACTGTGCAGGCGAGATACTGGCTTTGACTTTTGTGCATGTTTTTTGCCATCCATGTAACTTATCATAACTCATCTGCATATTTGACAAACTAAGTTTAACTTTTCATATTTTGCATTTGGCAGACTTATTTACACTGCCTATTACCAGCCATTTTTCAAATAAAGGATTGAGTTGCAAACATTGAATTAATGTAAACACAATATAATTAAGTTTCTTGTTAAATGTTAAACATTAACCCTGGTACCCTTAAATTGGTAAAATGTTAAACCAAGGTACCCTTGAAAAGTAAGATTTTTATTAGAAAAAATATTGAAACATTAAAGAAAAATTAAAAAGTTCCCTGATTTTCCCTGATTTTTTCCTAAATCAATCATTTTCCCCTGATTTTCCCTGATTGTACCTAAATTTCCCTGATTTTCCCTGATTGTATCTAAATTTCCCTGATTTTGCCTGAATTCCCTGATTTCCCTGATTTGGTGGCAACCCTGTATATTATTAAAATGAAAAAATTTTGAAAAAAATCACGGCACTTGCAGCACAGCAACAAACGCCTATAGTAAGATAAAAGATTACTACATCTGTCCAACAACATCTGTAGAGTAGTAAAAATTATCTGTACAATTTTGTGCAAGACCATCTGTATTTTTTTATATCATCTGGAAATTCAATGACCCCTACAAGATCTACATCTGGTAATGTTTTTCCAAAAAAATTCAATATTATCTGGAAGAATTTCCTCCAGATGTAATTCCATCTGAAAAAAATCTTATATGTAACTACATCTGGTTAAATA